CCTTCCCTTCCCTGCAGCTCAAAGGAGCTCCTTTCCATTTGCTCAATGGGATGCTGCCCAATTAATGAATTGTTCAGTGAACCCATTGGGACCTTTTAAATTACTCAGTTGCATTTCTGTTAACAGATTACATAGTTTTTTTTTTTTTTTTACAAATGGGATTGAATAGACCTCTCCTATAAGAATTCCAAATAATAGATGTAGACCTTCAGCGATCCATCAAGTAAATGGAGATAAATCCCCTCTCCTAAAGTGTGGGCTCAGTGCAGTGTCTTCCTGCTCACGAAGACACACCTTATGTACATGGGAAAGAGTAACTTCATGGTGGGGAAGCCTGAACAACAATGCCTCAGCCAGGTGACCAACGTTAACACGGACAGTGACAAGGTTCCCTTATTATAAAGTGATGACAGAGCACTTTACCTCCCTGATCTGCTTCCTCAAAACCCATAATCCCAGTCTAATCAAGAGGAAAACAAATAAATCTCAATGCAAGACTTTCTACAAAATGCCTGACCAGTCCTCCTCAACACTGCCAAGGTCGTTGAAACAAAGCTGTCTGAGAAACTGTTACAGCCAAGTAGAGCCTAGAGAGACATGAGCAGGAAAAGGGACACTGGAGCAGGAGAAGAGAGAACAGAGGGAACCTGAATAAAATATGGACTTTAGTTAAAAATAACACATCAATATTTGCTCATGAATTGTGACAATTCTGTAGAAGACTAGAAAGAAATTAAAGGTCAAATAAAAGAAACTTATTGTACTAGACAGGAAACCCAGAGGAAATGGGTGATTCCTAGTAAAAATACACATTAACAAAAGGACCCTAAAATAAGGAAAAAACAAGCAGACCAATTATCCATCCAGGGACTGCTTCCTCCTGCTGGTTCTCCGCTTACTCTTCAACGGTTTTCCTCTGCCAGGACAGAGAAGGAACAGGGACAGAGCTGTTCTGGAGCTCCCCTGAGACCTGACCCAACTCGGTCTTCCTCTCCCCAGCCGTGCCATGCCCAGTGAAGACACTGTGCACAGGGAGTCTCAGGGATTGTTGATTCTGATATGTCACCTGGGACTTTTTGGCTTGAAAGGAACTGGACACACTGACTGAAGTAAAATAAATTAATTTTTTAAATGGTTGGAAAAAAATTAATACTTGGAGGAGGCAAGTTAAGAGTGTGCTTGGACTTTGTAGGCCCAGGGGCTCACAATTTCAGAGTGTGACCTGGACCATCTCCAACCCTCCATCCTGCTAAGTGCTTTGGAGTGGGCCCGTTCACAGGCACAGTCTCTCTCACTGCATCTGGGACCTCTAGCAACTCTAGGCTGACACCCACTCACTGTCCATTCTACTGGGAAGGCTTTCTCTTTCCCTTGGGTTCCATGAAAAGTCATGGCTTTAAGTGTCTTTGGCGTGGCTTGGGTCACACTCTCATCCTTGAAGCCATCAGAGTATCCAGAGGACAGAGCATGGGGTTGGGTAGACTTGGATCATACGCCCATCTGTGAGGTGGGTGGAAAGTGGGGTCTGACCTCTGGAACTATTTGGATGGGAGGCAGGTGAGATGTGGTTCACAAAGGCAAGCTGAGGTGCTGGACTTGGACGAGAATAGATGCCGGACTGGGAAAGCAGCAGATTCTGCATCACTGGCGACTGACTGCACGGCTGTGGAATCTGAAACCCAAGGAAGGAAGGGGTCAACTTAAGGTCAGAGGCTGCAGTCGCCCATCCAGGGCTCTTGCTGTTCTCCCATAATGGCAAGACGCTCTTCCACTTGCTGAAAAAGCAACTTTGCTGTTGGTGGGAAACTCAAGGCTCCTGCCTTGGACATTGGGTCCTTGCATCTCAGAGACTGGAAGGCACACAGACCTCACTCATGTCTCTGGGAGGAAGGAGGCCAGGAGTCACGCCTGCCCCCCCCACACATTAATCACCCATCCCCAAAGAACAAACTGGCTCATTCTCCAGTCTCTTCTCTCCTTTACAAAGAGCAGAGACCAAATACAATGATGGTTAGGAAATTATTGCTCAGTGAAGCAGTGCGAGACTCAAGATTATTCCACAGCATGGAATCCACACTTGGCAGGCTGTTCAAAGGCTACAGACCCTGGGTCATGCACGTGGCTCTCTGAGACCATGCAGTCTCAGTGAGAAACTGCCTGCTGGGAGACACAGGTTCTCCTATATCCTTGATTCTTAACAAGTATGTATATCGAAGGTTTACATTATAACGAGGAGGCCAAAGGACTACAGGGCCAGTTTGATGTATGGCTGCTGTAGCCAGGGCTACATTCTATGTTTGGAGGGTTATGACCTCTCTTGGCAGGCAGGCAGGCTGTGAGGGAAAAGGTGCTTGTCTCAACCACACAAATGTTGGCAATGGAAATAATCCAAGGGGCTGTCTACACTGTCCATGGACCTGTTAAATTGCCAGGAGCACAGTCAGCTTAATAATTGGCCATGGGGGTTTGTCAAGACCCAGGCTGGCCTGAGCTGGAGGACCACAGATGCCTGTGTGGTTGGTCGGAGGCCAAGGACTGTCCTCTCTGAGACCCGACTGTCTACTGCTGATCATTCGGATGGGATGAAGGATCCAGCCAGTGCCAGGAGAGCCCCACCAGCCCCAAAAAGGCTGCACATGGGGGCGGGTAGGCCACTGAAACCAGACCTGGATAAATCCACATGTGTCTACCAAGTGCCCTTGTGGGTAAGGGCTGTACTAGAACCTGGGGCTTCCCAGGCAGGGAGGGGACAGCAGGACCCTTCCCAGATAGGAGAGTGGAAGGACTCTGCATGATCTCCGAGACCTTCCAAAATCCTTGACTGGGGTTGAGTTGGAATTGAAATAGTCAGTTGCCAGGTAGATATTTCACTCTTCTTTTAAAGCCTGACACTGAGGGGCAAAAAAGCAATGCTCTAGCTCAACCTCTAAAGCAAGTATGACCACAGGTGAATCCTGTCCATCCTAGAGGTTCATAAACATAGAGGGGGGATAGAGTATCTGTGAGTTCAAGCCCTGTTGGGCTCCACACTGGTGGAGCCTACTTTAAAAAATCATTAAATAGAAACAAAAGAGCCTCTCTATAGTTTTGCTGCACCTTGCTGGTCTTGCGTTACAATCCTCTGCTATTTCCGAATAAATCTACTTGGCTGGTAAGATTACTGGCAGTTTTATTTTTAAAGTTAATACCTTATTTTGACTTATGTCTTTAGCCCTATCTTCAAATACAATCACATTCTGAAGTACTAAGGGTTAGGATGTCAGCATATGAATTTTTGGAAGGACAAAATTCAGCCCATAACAAGGACCCTTGTAAGGGAGGACGTGTTCGTTGTTTTTAAAAGTCAACAAAGTGTGGAGATTCAAAGTACAGGCGTCACTTAGCGATGGAATGGCGGCGCAATTTGAAGGCGCCCTCGGCACACACCTGCCCATGAAAGGTGAGGACTCTAAGGGCGACGGCACCTGACTCAGCAGGCTGATGTGACACGGGAGAAAGCTTCTAGCAGGAGGCATGGCATACGGTAGGTTTACCCACCGCAACAGACCCAACAGGTCCGACTGGAACGCGGGAGCGTGGCCTCACGGGCCGGAGGGAATGCGCCACTGCACGCGCCGGAAGTACTCCCAAGGGATTCGGGGACTGTGGGGACTCCCAGCACCGGCAAGCGCCCTCCCTTTTGCGTATTTCCGGCGCGACGGCCGACGTGATGACGCCCTGAGCCGGCTCCTGTTGGGCGGGCCCGTTCACGCTTGTTCAGGGGCAGGTCCCGGAAGCAGCCCGTGCCGGGAGAGGCTCGTACTGGGGTCCGGGAATCCGGATCCTGGCCCAGCGGGTGGGCACGATGCGGCTGGGTTCCGGGACCTTTGCCGCCTGCTGTGTGGTGATCGAGGTGCTCGGGGTCGCGCTCTTCCTTCGGGGATTCTTCCCGACTCCGGTTCGTTCCTCTTCCAGGACGGAGCACCAAGCAGAGCCCCCAGCGCCCGAACCCTCGGCTGGTACGGACCCCTCCCCGGCCGTGTCCGCTCCCTGGGCCCCACTGTCGCCAAAGGACCCTCCTTAGGAGCCTCGCCTCTCGGACTTCTCGGGGCCCTCGAGTGCTCTCCTCTTCTCTTCTGGTCCCCACTCCCAGGAGTCCTCTTTTTACCGCCCCAGCCTCTCTCTGTATCCCACTATTTTGTGGCAACCACCACTACCAGCCATACTTCGATCTCCTCCCTGGTCGCCGCAAAGAAAGCTCTCCACACCCAGGCTCCCGCCTCTCCCGACGTCTGCTCATCCAGTCACACCCCCTCCCCCTTCCCTGGACGAGCCGTTGCGTCACTCCCTTTTCGCTCAATAAGACACAGCAGATAAGATTCCTGCTGACCCCCTCCACCGCGTTTTCTTCTATGACATTCTTCCAAGACCCGCTTCCCCCCCCCCCCAGTAGCCTTCACCTACCCAGCAGTACACACTAGGTGAAGCCTCTCCCGTTTTTGACCAGGTCCACACAATACCAGCCACCGACCTTGTAGACACAGTTTATAGACGCTTGCCCATCCCCTACCTGCTGCACTGTGTTTGGAATCAAGCTCCCTAAATGCCAAATACCCAGGAATCTCACGAAGGGATTCCCCTTTCCCAGTACTCAACATGCAAAGGGCAGTTCATGCTTAATACTGGGGCTCCTTCAGCTTCCTTGTCATCCCCGCACTGTCTACCAATAACAGGTCCTTTTCTTTGGGTTGGGATAGGTACATGTGACAGCATATGTGCTGGAGAAGTAGGCCAGAAGTAGATTATAAGGTGCTTGGGTGCTAAATACAGTTTAAAATTCAATTTCCTTTTTCCTTTCAAACATTTTTAGGAGCCAGTTCCAACTGGACCAAGCTCCCACCACCTCTATTCAGAAAAGTTGTTATTATGCTGATAGATGGCTTGAGAGATGATTTTGTGTTTGGGTCAAAGGGTGTGAAATTTATGCCCTACACAACTTATCTTGTGGAGAAAGGAGCATCTCACAGTTTTGTGGCTGAAGCAAAGCTGCCTACAGTTACTATGCCTCGAATCAAGGTAAACAGTTTGACTTAATGTGTTGTAAGTCATGGCTTGGCTTTTTGGGAGGTTTGAAGGGGCTCTCTGTACTCTTACTTGGAGTCCCAATTTTAATTTGGTGGAAATTAGTTTAGTGCTGTCCACCTGGCTAGGGCAATAAAATGCTGATGAAGCCTCACAAGATAGGAGAGAACTGAGACCCATGATTTGTGTCTCTGGTCAAGTAGCCCAAAGTTCACACTTGATGGAAAGCATAAACTCTTTAGAGCCCAGATCATTCAGGTCAGCCTAATCCAAAAGATAGTGTCCTCCTTGCTAACCTGGTCTCTTCTTTAATCATCAGTGGGTCACTTACATTCCAGAAAGGAGCCTTTAGGGTTAATCTAGTTCAGTCTCTTGACTTTATAGACAAGAAACAAATTCAGATAAGTTAGATGGCTTGCCCGCAACTGTGTGGTATAAATAATAACCAAACCTGCATGATCTGGCCTCAACAGTTATCACTGTTTCTACTGTATAACTCACTTTGAGGTGTTCAGCCTAGTGAGTGTGGCTTTGAAGTGCATAGTGCTTTACTAATGAACTATGAGTGGAAAAAAAAAAAGAGTGAAGCTGTATTGATTGCCTCAAGAACTATTTATTAAGCAACTACTATGTGTCAGTACTGTAATGGGTATGCAGTTGGGGCAAAATAGTATCTGCCTTCATGGAGCTTTTAGGCACTTATGAGAGACACAGCCATAAAGCAAATGAGCAGACAAATTAATTTGTAGTTTTAAAGTGTGATTAATGCATGATGATGAGAAAGAGCAGGATGTGATGCTCAGTACTGGGTGGGATGGGAGGGGGCTCAATTTAGATTGAGTGTCAGAAAAGTCTGCCTGAGGAAAGTACACTAGAGTTTAAACTGGAAGGGTGAGTAAAGGGGAGGCGACAGAAAGGGACAGAGGAGCTTCAAAGTTTGTGAATATGTTGCTGGCATGATAAAATTGTCTGGTTGAGCCTTACATCTATGGCTGATTGTGTGACACCTTATTTGGTGAGAAGGAGCCACGTCTTGATTCAGTATTTAGTGGGTACTCGGTAATTGTTTACTGGATGAATAAAACTGTCTGGGATTCAAAGGATTAATACTGCATCTTTCATTGACTTATTTTCTTGAGTTTCCCACTGTCTGCAACTTTTGGATGTAGTGTGTCCTTCATTCAGCAGTATTTATTGAGCATCTTCTATGTATCACACACTTTGTCAGTAAGAGGGATTCCGTGAAGAACAAGACAGCAAGTGTCCTATCCTCATGGAGCTTAATTTCTAATTGAGGGGGCAGAAAATATGTAAGTATACAAATAATCAAGACAGTTTCAGAAAGTGATACGTACTGTGGAAGGAATTAGGGAGGAGACTATGACAGTAATGAGGAACAGGGAGGAGTGGGGCACCTTTAGTCAAGAAGCTCAGGGATGGCCTCTCAAGAGTGCTCATTCTGCTGAGACCAGTCTTGTGAAAGCTAGAAGAAAGGTATCCTGGCTCCTCACCATCAGGAGCACTGATTTATCTGTTCTAGCAAAGGTGTGGAAGGAACCCAGTCCTCCTTCATTCTGGTAAGGAATCTGAGTAGGTTTATAAGAAAGCATGTAAATGGGTGTGCAGGCTCCAGGCTATGTCCGGACCTGCATGTCGGCTACTGTGTTCTTAGAGCCTCCTGTTTCCAGCTCGTTTGTGTCCTTTCATGAAACCAGTATTGTGCTTCATTTTGTTTATTGTGTTTTCAGGCCTTTGCAAGTTCTTGCTTCTCATTCCCCAGCAAGAGGGGAGCTAGAGCAGGAAATACATACTGGAGTTAGGGTTACACAGCTCTAGAATTTGGCAGGATTGGGTAGTATTGGCTAAGATGTGTGTCCCCTACCTTGCCTCCAGTTAGGGAAGGGATATATTAATCTTGAGGTATTGATGCAGTTGTCACGAAACGCTGATCTTAACGACTCAAGACTAATAGCACTTTCATAGCACTTTCTCATGTTAACTAATTTGTGAATGCTTTTCCTTTCTTCAGGGAACGTATAGTAACAGTAAGGAGCAGGTACTGACCAACTGACTGCAGTGAGCACAGAGCACAGGCATTCTGTCATGTGCTATCACAACAGCCCCATGACCTAGGCTCCATGAGGCAGGCACTGCCGCCTTCTCCGTTTTCCAGATGAGGAAACAGGCTTGAAGTGGTAAAACCACACAGCTGGCATCAGAAACTGAACCTGGCCTATGTGTGTCCGGTTCCAGCGCCTCTGTTGGTCACTGCTGAACAGGGTGACCAGGCCACATCCTCTTCAGTAGTCTCTGCAGAGCCCTCCTTCAGTCTCAGAAGGCAAGAAACCACTGTTCCCAAGGCCACAACAACCGCAGGACGACCTCCAAGGTGATGGCAGACTTGGGCTCTCACTTAGACTTCCTAGGGCTCCCAGCTGCCTGCATGCTTCCTGGGGTGAAGGGTACCAGGTAGTCCCCGCCCTCCTCAAAAATGTCAGTGGGAACACAGCCTAGTGTGAGAAGGAGGCAAGTACCTTATAAAAGCCCCTGGGAAAAGGATGGACAGATTAGACCACATGGAAACCAAAGCCCTTTATGTGGTGGAAGACACTATAAACCAAGTCAACTGACACATGGTAAACTGGAAAAATTATTTACAGTTGACATCACAAACGAGATGGTAAGCTCATGATGTGTAAAGAGAATCTGACCAAGGACAACAATCCAATGGCAAAGGATATAAAGAAATCCACAAAGGAAGACATTGAAATGGCGAGTAAACATATGAAAAGATTCTGTACTAGTAATCAGGGCAAGGCGAACTAAAGCAATCTGTAAGCACAGTTTTTGTCTGTCACATTGTAAAAATGTAAAGGTTGATGATGACCTCTTCTTCATATGAAATGAGGTAGACAGGTACTGTCAACACTGAGCCAGCCCCTGCACTGCTGCCACTCTGGCCCAGTGTGCTGTGGCCTCCAGCCAGGACTGTAGAAGTCTCCCAGCACCTCCTCGTACCCAGGCCCCATCTTCAGACCCTGCACTAGTTTATATCTGCCTACTAACCCAGGCCTCAAGGCTGTGTGGTCCTGTCCCTGTTTACGTCTTCATCCTCATCTGAGCTGTCATTCATCCACGTAGGTCACACATCCTGCCAGCATGCTGCCCTCTTTCAGCCTTGGGGCTTTCACAGTTTGCTGTGTTCCCCTGGAGAGCCCCATTGTACCTCCCTTCCCCTCCCCTAGATGACAGGTCAGCCTTCAGGTCTCAGCTCAAATGGCACTTGCGTTGCAAGCTTGTTAAAATTCATGTCCATTAAAATGGTCTTGGTCCAAATACTGGAGTACTTTGTAGCTGCTAAAAAAAAAAAAAAAAGTAGTAGCTGTGTGTTTTCTGGGAAGAGAAGTTAAGGATATGTTATTGAAAAATAAAAACAAGTTGCAGAATGGTTTATTACCATTGTATATTTGTGATTATACACATACAGGAAAAATATGAAAGGGTACTTACCCAAAGTAACTGGTTACCTATAAGTAGTAAAATTTTGGGGTGAAAGAGAGGCTCACATTTAAAAAAAAAATAATTTCATTGAGATAGAATTTTCATACAGTGAAGTGCAGACATTTTTATGTGTACAGTCTGGTGAGATTTAACAAATGTGGTATATCCATCAACCCCCCACCTCAACTCTGGATTCTGATCCCCCACCCCAGGAGTGGTGGTTCTTGCTATCATTTTGTTTGTTTGTGAGTTACTTGCCTAAACTTGATCTGTAGAGTCTGTCTCCCCTGGAGTGCACAGTAACTGGTATCTGCTTATTTTTGTTTTAAATTCTGGTTTTTATTTTTAAGCTGGTCTTGTGAAAGGTCACGCCTAGGTGAGCATAGTTAGTGGTTAGCCAATGACTGGTCAGAGGTTGTGCTTAAACACCTAGGCCTTCCACCCTTTCCAGGGGTCTGTGTGTGGTTCATACTCACTGTTCAGGCACCTAATACGCCTGCCCTGTCACTTTCTGTGTGAGTAGGGCCTCCTCTTCAGCTGGAAGGAATGGGTTACTAGGCACGGTCTGATCTCTCCTGAGTGCACAATCAGCCCCATGTGTGTACGCGGCTCTGTGGGCGCTTAGAGAAATCTGCTATACCTGTCTCATTCCCCAGACCCCATTTTTTTTTTTTTTTTAATTTTAATTTTCCTTTAAGTAGGCTCCATGCCCAGCGTGGAGCCCAATGTGGGGCTTGAACTTACAACCCTGAGATCAAGACCTGAGCTGAGATCAAGAGTCAGATGCTTAACCAGCTAAGCCACCCAGGTACCCCTAGCCCAGATCCCTTTTTTTTTTTTAAAGATTTTATTTATTTATTTGTTTGTTTGTTTGTTTGTTTATTTATTTGAGAGAAAGTGAGCGAGAGGGAGAACACAAGCTGGGGGAGAGGCAGAGAGAGAGAGAGAAGCAGGCTCCCCACTGAGCAGGGAGCCTGACGATGCAGGGCTCGATCCCAGGACCCCGGGATCATGACCTGAGCTGAAGGCAGACGCTTAACCGACTGAGCTACCCAGGCGTTCCTAACCCAGATCCCATTTTTTTTTTAAGATTTTATTTATTTGAGAGAGAGCACAAGCTGGGGGAGAGGGAGAGGGAGAAGCAGACTCCCCACTGAGCAGGGCCTGACGATGCAGGGCTCGATCCCAGGACCCTGGGATCATGACCTGAGCTGGGGGCAGACGCTTAACTGACTGAACCACCCAGGTTCCCCCCAGATCCCATTTTTAAATGTTGGGCTTGTCTCTTACCACAAACAGCATTGATGCCTTAGGCAGCTGTGATGTTGGCCTTCCTTGTTTTCAGCACATCCCTGGCATGGGACTTCTCCGTGCAGCTCCAGGTCAGATGGACCCCTCTGGGTCCCCATGGCCACTGTGTCACAGGGGGAGGGGGAGGAGGGCAGCCTCTGTTAAAACACCACAGATACTCACAGCTCTTACTGAGATTCAGTAGTTTGTCTTAGATAAGAACTTCTCAATTTGTTGTGTATCCTTGGTAAGTTTTCAAAATCTTGAAATGGTTGTTTTGGGCAGTTCTATCCCATTTTGTCATTGCTCTGAGGGGAGAGGATTTGCCGAGCTCCTCTGACATTCCAGAAATCAGGTTAATTCATATTTGCTGTTTTTGCTGTTAAAGAAGACCTGGCGAAATTATGCCTATTGGCATGATACAGATTTCTGTTTATTTTCATTGCACAGGTCGGTCCCTGGATGCCAGTGTCATGGGTTGTTGGATAACTCTAGGTCACAGGAGACACATGACCCTTTACTATGGCCTCAGACTCTGTGCTAAAGCGAGGGAGGTTGTTGACAAAATTCTATGTCAGAAAGGTATGGGGATACGTCACACCCACCCTTTCCTCCCAGAAATTATGGTGCTGTGTCTCTGTGTGTGTGTGCATGCGGAGCAGGGGTGTCCCACCAGCATCCCTGGGCCAGTTTACTATGAGAATTTCTAAGTGTTCTTGCTTAGAGACTGCTTTCCTTCCAGGGTGTGTGAGAGGCTGCTCGTTCACATGGCATGGACATTAGAATTGCTAGGTTGTAAGATGAGTACACGGAGTTTGCTCGTCACACAGAACAGATTTGAAGCTTAGGTGAGGACCTGATGGGAAGTGGAGTATACAGGTTTATGTTTTCCGTGCATACCACACTTTTTTTTGCCGTTTTCTTCAGTTGCTGTAACCTACAGCTTTTCTGTCCATCATGGTCGTCCAGCTGCCCACAGCCTCCTCCTTTATCCGCTCATTGGCTGAAATACAGTCAAGTCTTTGAGATCAAGTTTGCTAGTTTGCCAGAATCTGTGTGCAGCTTTCCCCTCTGTCCTACCACTGACCCAGCTTCCAGTATTGGGGGTGTCCTAGTTTTATGCTCTCCTCTTTCATCCGTAATATGATCTTCGGCACTCCTTCCCATGCTACGCTTTGGATTCCGTAGTCTAATTTCTTGAATGTTTCCTCCTGCAGGCGTTGATGACAGGGAGCCTCCCTGGCTTCATCGATGTTGTCAGGAACCTCAATTCCCCTGCACTGCTGGAAGACAATGTGATCACACAGGCAAAAGCAGCTGGGAAAAGAATTATCTTTTATGGAGATGAAACATGGGTGAAATTATTCCCAAGGCATTTTGTGGAATATGATGGAACAACCTCATTTTTTGTGTCAGATTATACAGAGGTCAGTTTTTTAAAATAAGAAAGCTTTGTCATACTAGATAGAGTCTGATACCCTGTCAGTGAGAGGCAACATTGTTTTGTATGTGGCTTTTATTAGTATACTGGGAGAGGTATGGAGAGATTGTAGACATTGTTCATGCACATAATCAGTTACAACCCAGAGACATGAACCCTGATGGAGATGTGAACAAAGTTCTCTTGGAACAGCTGAGCACCTGTTGTTGGGGTATGGAGGGTCAGGAAGGGCTTCCCAACAAGGAGCCATTTAAGCTGTTTTGAGAAGTGAGTGGGGACTTCCCAATGGACAGAATGGGGGTGGCAGCATTGGTACGAGGCAGAGCCTAAGGGCTCCAGAGGATCCTTGAGGCTATTGGTTCTCCTGTTAGTGCAGCAGTGTCCCCAGTGGGGAGGTAGGAGGACAGATGGTGAGCTGGGTGGAGTCAGGTGCTGAGGGGCATTGCGCTGTGCTGGGAGTGCAGTCTCCAACAAGGAAAAAGGGTGTGATAAGACCTGTAGTTAGAAAATTGACCCTGGAAGCAGAGGGAGGCCCCACAGAGCAGAGAAACCCACACCAGCTCAGTTTGCTGGGCCTGGTAGAGTGTTTGCAGTCTTGCTTACATTAATACCCTTTGCTAAAGCTCACCTCTGTACATGCAGCAGTTAATGTCCAGGAGTGAGTTTCCCTGTCCTCTGTCTTATCACTCAGAGACCTTTCCCTTTGTAGAGACTTTTCAGTGGGAGGGAGATGGGCCAGCTGAATGGTCAGGGCTGACCAGGCTCATGGTTCTGTCGGGGGCTCCTCGACCACTAGTTGCTCAGAGCTGTATCTCTTTCCTCCCAGAACAGCCTTCACACAGGACACACTTAGATGCCCTCAACTTGACCCCACCGGTCACCTGAACATCTGCTTAGTGTTAGTTAATTCCCAGTAGGGGTCCCACAGAATGTTTAAGTTACCTATATAGTATCTGTACCTTAGAAACATGAGGACGGTATTAGTGACAGCTTAATCTAATGCTAATATTTGTTTAACTTTTTCATGACAGGTTTTTCTGTGTGTGTTTAGGGCTTTTTTTGTGTGGGGGGGGTCTTTTCAGACTCTGAGTCCAGTTACCTAAAACAAACGCCTAGATTTTAAAAGGACTGTATCACTTTTCCTTGGAGAGTGTAGATCAAGGGAAATAAAGGAAGCTATTCATACGTACTTTTCCCCCTTTACAGGTAGATGATAATGTTACGAGGCATTTGGATAAAGTATTAAAAAGAGGGGATTGGGATGTGTTAATCCTCCACTACCTGGGACTGGACCACATTGGCCACGTCTCTGGGCCCAGCAGCCCTCTGATCGGGCACAAACTCCGGGAGATGGATAGCATCCTGATGAAGATCCACACCTCACTGCTGTCCGAGGTGAGGCTCACTATGGTGCGCTGTGCATCACCATGCCAGTGTCTCCTAGGAGATACCAAGTTTCTGAAGTGGACTTGAGACCTCTGTGAACGCCACGCCCACCATCACTCAGTTCGCCTGTAAGCACAGAGCGCAGGCTCAGCCTCCCAGCAGCTTTGACTGTGTCCACCATTGGCCCATTCATCCCACTACTAGTTCCTGAATGCCTGTCCGGGCATCTGTAGAGCTTATACTGTAGCCAGGAAGGACAAATGAGGATAATCAATGAGTACATAAGTACTAGGAAAAGGGGACAGCAGCTGAGAGAAACAGAACGGTGAGAGCAGCTGTCCTTCAGGATATATGACACAGGAGCAGAGCCTTGAAGGGAAGGAGGGACAGATATGCCCTCTGTGAAGGTGCATTCCAGGTGAAGAAGTAGCAAGAACAGGGCAGAGCCTGCCCGGCACATCCAGGAGCAGCAGAGGCCCTTGGCTGGAGCCCCAGGCTGAGGGACAATCCCACTTGACACATAAGGAGACGGGTGTGACAAGTCATGTGTCTAGGCTCTCATGGCTCAGCAGTGGCAAAGACAGAAACCAGGCCCAAATCCTCTGCCCTGAGAGGCCCTAAATATAACCCTCCTGTGCTCCATGACCTCATATGATTCTATTTGTTTTATTTATGATATTATTTGTCTTTCATCCTTTGATCTAGCTGTAAGCTCACAGGTTAAAAAAAAAAAAGTCTAACTCATTTATAAAGAGTTACTAATGGGGTGCCTGGGCGGCTCAGATGGTTAAGCGTCTGCCTTCAGCTCAGGTCATGATCGCAGGGTCCTGGGATCGAGCCCCGCATCGGGCTCCCTGCTCATTGGGGAACCTGCTTCTCCCCCTCCCTCTGCTTCTCCCCCTGCTCATGTTCTCTCTCTCTCTGTATCTCTGTGTCTTGAATGAATAAATAAAAAAATCTTTAAAAAAAAGTTACTATTTATATAGTAAAGGTAAAATCTAAAGTCATTTTCTTAACAAGATCATGTGTTCTCCTCAGTCTGAATGCAATTGAAATATTTTTCCTTTGCCTTATAGGAGAGAGAGACTCTTGTACCCAATTTGCTGGTTCTTTGTGGTGATCATGGCATGTCAGAAACAGGAGGTCACGGCGCCTCTTCCGTGGAGGAGCTTAACACCGCCCTGATCTTAATCAGTTCTGCATTTGAAAGAAAACCTGGTGAGGATTTAGGAATGTTTACTATTTTAAAACTGTATTTTATGCATCTGTTTTCTGTAGATCAATTTTAATTTTAAAAAATCATTTTTTGGAAGCTGTGTAAGTTTGAAATATCCTGAGCAATGTGAGGATGAAAATTAATGGAGCAAGGGGCAGCCAGGATTTGGAGTTTACATTTCTTACCCCAATTTTTAAAGTACAAATATTCTTTTTAGGAATTTTGTTGTATGAATGTGACTGCCTCGGTATCTGGAACTGTTAATAAAAATTACCAGTAGCTTCGAGACATCTCAACACATGTGAACTGAAAGAAAGAAACATTAAAAATTAAAATTTTTTTTAAGATTGTACTTATTTATTTGAGAGAGAGACAGAGAGAGAAAGAGAACATGAGCAGGGGAAAGGGGGAGTGGGAAAGGGACAAGCAGACTCCCCGCCGAGCAGGGAGCCCGATGTGGGACTCGAACCCAGGACCCCAGGATCACGACCTGAGCCGAAGGCAGATGCCCAACAGACTGAGCCACCCAGGCGCCCCAATAATTAAAATTTTTACAAACGATCCATCTTTTGAAACTCTGAGGAGTCCTAGGATCAGTCAGAGCAGGACTAACTGAGGACCTGTCTGTCGGCATTAAGACAGCCCAGCTCTCCATCCCAGGCACGGGCCGGCTTGCCTCACAGCCGTGTGCCCTGTCTCCCCATCAGCCTGTACTTGCTCTGCCTCCTCACTTTGCAACACACCCGCCTTCACTCACCGGTTACTTCTGAGTTGGACGCTCTCTGTCCCCCTCACGTGACCCTTCAGTACCATCGGGCGTTTCTGAACCCTAGGCCTGGTAGCTCCCGTTTGACTGGTTTTCTTCCCACCTCTCGCATTGCTGTCTAGTCTTTGCGAGCTTAGCTCCTGGCACCTTCTGGACTGCCTCCTAGTTTCATTCTACATTCACTCCTCCGATGACCTCGTCCACTCCCATAGATTTATCTCTCTAGCTGTCTCCTCTTTTCCCATCTCCAGACTGTCTGTTCAGCTGCCTGACACCTCCACTTGAGTCTCCCAAAGGTAGAGCAACTGTGACAGCTTCACGTCTAATCTGCCCTCTCGTAATCCCCTGCTAGCAAATGGCACCTTCATGGGATTCTTCCGGGTAGAAATGTGGGCGTCCCACTTCACCCTCCATCTCCCTTGCTCCGCACATTCCAGACCACCCCCAGTCTATACATAAAACTTTTCAGTAGCTGAACTTTGGATCAAGTAACAATCCCACGTGAGGCTTCTTTCCTACCTTGCAGCTTCATCCTGAACCATATTACCATTACTCACTGTGTCCTGGCCCCTGCCCTTCACACAGGTCCTCCAGGTGACAAGCTCTTCCCCATGTGCCCAACTCCGTCATCGTCAGCCCCTCAGCCTGCTTGTCCATTCATCCCTGGTTTCAGCTGACGTCACTGGCTCATCCGTGAAACTAAATTGCCCTCCCTCTGTTCGTCATTCACAGCAGTCCACGCATGCTGCCCTCCTTCTTCACTTAGATTTTAATTACAGACTTATTTGTGTGATGCGTGTAACAGCCGCCTCCTCTCTGCACTTCAAGCTACAGTCAGGCAGCGCCAAATCTTTTTGTTCATTGGTACCTGCTTGTTTCGGGCCTAAACATTGCCTGGTATGTGATGGGTGCCAAAAAGGATTGTCGAATGAATGAATCTCCCACTTGAGCGAGGATTGGTTGAGGAAGAATCTCCGTTGATTTCCTTCGATCTTTTTGCAACACTTCCTCCTCTCAGACATCTGATCTCCTAAGACACAAGTCATTAGCTCTTGAAGGGACCTGAGCCTTCCTATTCTAGGTGTCTTACTGAAGCCTGTCTTCCAGTGAGCGCACACACTACCCACCAGAGCACCTGCCTTCTACACCTGGCTTTCCCACACTGTGTACCCAAAGCAGGGTCCCATGTGGCTCCCCTACCTGAGCAAGAGCCCCATGCCAGAAATGCCCTTTCCACTCATCCATCCGGCAGAGGTGTGCTGAGTTCCTGCCGTGGACTAGGCACTGTGCTGGACACTGTGGGCAGCCTCCACCCTCAGGGAGCTTGTAATCTGGGGAGCAAAAGAGACAACTAAGCCGGTGGTTTTTATTATAAGGATGTTAGGCTCATTGTTGAACTAAAGTGCTGATGTTTCATCTCCAAGACAGGTATTTAAGAATGTCCTCCTTGGGAGGCCTGACTGTGTCTTCAGTGCCAGGAACCACCAGGGAGGCTGCACGTGCAGGACACCTGACAGGGTGGTTCAGGTCACTGACCTCAGTGCCAATAGCGGGTTCCAAGTTTTTTGTCACTTGTTTACTCGTGTCAAGAATGGTTGTGTTCAGTTGTCTTGTTGTGCTTATTTTATGAGCCAGGACGGCACTGCAAGTAGCTCGCTCAGAGTCAGTATTAATTTCAGGACAGTAAACCCCCACTTACCCCCCTACCCCTAGCTGCCAGCAACTGCTAATCTTTTCTCCATCTCTGTCGATTTGCCTCTTCTGGACATTTCCTGTAAATGGGCCCTGTAGTACGTGGCCTCGTGTGACTGGCTGCTTTCATTTGGCGTAATGTTTTCAAGGTTCATCCAGGTTGTAGTGGTGTCAGGACTTCATTCCTTTCTTTGGCTGGATTATGGTCCACGTGATGGGTAGACCACATCATGTATCCATTCATTAGTTGATAGACATATGAGTTGTTTCCACTTTTCAGCTGTTATGAATAATGTTGCTGTGAACATTTGGGAAGTTTTTGTGTGGACAGATGTTTTCTTTTTTTTAAGATTTATTTATTTTAGAGAGAGAGAGCGAGAGAGTATGTGCAAGCAGGGGGAGGGGCACAGGGAGAGGGAGACAAGCAGACTCCAAGGTGAGTGGGGAGCCCGATGCGGGGCTTGATCCCAGGACCCTGAAATCATGGCCTGAGCTGAAATCAAAAGTCGGACACTTAACTGACTGAGCCACCCAGGCGCCCCTGGACAGATGTTTTCATGTGGTGGTGTTTTCTTTCTCCAGTACAGTTTTGCCCCACCTACCTTCTCTGTGCTGTTATTATCACATATGGTACATTTCCTTTTTTTTTTTTTTTAAGATTTTATTCATTTATTTGAGAAAGAGAGCAAGGGAGCATGAGTGAAGGGTATCTTCTTCTCCCTCAAGAGAGATCACTGAGCAGGGAGCGCAGTGCGGGGCTTGATCCCAGGACCCCAGGATCATGACCTGAGGCAAAGGCAGACGCTTAAGCAACTGAGCCACCCAAGCGCCCCAAATACAGAACATTTCTACTATATACGTATATTTTATATAATGGCTTTTTAAATGTGTTCTTATGCTGTTTTATAATTGTATAATTACTGATGCTCTTTGCTTGTTTTATGGATCAAAATTAACATCTAGAGTCACTTGTTTTCAGCCTGAAGAACCTCCTTTAGCACTCCTTATAATGCAGGTTTGCTAGCAATAAATAGTTTCTTTTTTGTTGTTGTTCGTTTTTAATCTGGGCTATCTTTATTATGCCTTTATTTCTAAAAGATAGTTTTGCGGGGCACCTGGGTGGCTCAGTCGTTAAGCGTCTGCCTCCGGCTTAGGTCATGATCCCAGGGTCCTGGGATCGAGCCCCACATCGGGCTCCCTGCTCGGTGGGAGGCCTGCTTCTCCCTCTCCCACTCCCCCTGCTTGTGTTCCCTCTCTCACTATCTCTCTCTCCGTCAAATAAATAAATAAAAATCTTTTTTAAAAAATAAATAAATAAATAAAAGATAGTTTTGCTGGGTAGAAGACTCTGAGCTGACCATTCTTCTCTCTTTCAGTACTTTGGGTGCTCTGTCCCACTGCCTTCTGGCTTGCACGGCTTCTGATGAGACATCCTATCAGTCTGGCTGGGCTTTCCTTGTCTTGTCTGCCAGCACTTTCATTATATGTCCGTGTGTTTTGTGTTTATCCAACTGGGAGTTCACTGAGCCTCTTGGATGTGTAGATTAATGGTTTTCATCAAATTTGGGAGAGTTTCTGTTTTTTTCAGATTGTATAATTTTATCAATCTGCCTTTAAATTTGTTGATTCTTCTGCCAGTTCAGTGCAACTGTAGCGAATTTTTCATTTCGGTTATTGTATTTCTCATCTTCACAGTTTCCATTGATTCTTTATAATTTCTGTCTCTTTGTTGATAATCTCTATTGGATGACACATTGTCTTCAGACCTTCCTTTACTTGTCTATGCATGTTTCCTGGAGCTCTTTGAACGTGTTTGTGGTGGCTGCTTGCAAGCCCATCTGTTACCTCTAGGGGTCTGGGCCCTTTACTGGAAGGTTCTGTGGCTTTTTCTTCCGAGTCATACTTTCCTGCTGCTTTGCGTAATTGCTCATAGTGTTAGGTGAAAACAGACCATTCCAAATAATATATTGCAGCAACTCTGGATTCTGACCCCCAGCCCCTGCCCCTGGGGCTGTCATCATAGTTGTTCCCTTGTGTATTTGCTGAGCAGCGGGGCTGGGTCACTTCAGTGCAGTCCCTCTCCCGCAGCACGGAGTCTGCTGTGGCTCTCGTGCTGGCGCAGCCGCCCTGGGTGACAGCGGTCTCACTGACGCCCTGTGCCTGTCTCCCTCTGTGATGGCTGTGCCAGGCTGTTGCCTCTGTTGCCGTCACAGCCAGCTTCAGGCTCCACTCATTGCCAGCCGATTGCCTTATTTTTGACAACTTATAATAAATGTGCTCCACAATCTGATCTCGTGTTTGAGCCCCTTTGCAGGGTCATTTTCGAGGCCATTCTCTGAGGCCATTCTGACCGTTCTCTCCTGGCGCTCTCTGCGAGCACCCAGCTGGCCTGTGGTTTAGCTTGTGGCTGTCATGAAGCTACCAGCCTCCTCTCAGCTGCCCACCTCCAAAATCTCCATTGTTTTCAAGAGCATTCCTAGGCTTGAATTCACCACCTTCTGTTTCAGACAAAGTCAGTTCTTTCGTGGGGAGCTTTGTTCTGTTCTGTGGCCTGCCCTGGGCAAAATGAGCCACCGTTTCTAGTTATGGGCAGTGACAGCGGTCCCTTTCTCTTGGGGGCTCTGTGTAGTAGCCTCTGGTCTTTTCTACTAGCCTCTTCTGGGGGCAGCCTCCACCCTGCAAGCAGGCTGGGGTAGAAATTCTTTATGGGGCTGGGCAGAAAAAGAGAGGTCCCAGGCACTCAGCTGGAATTGGGCCTCTACACCACATAGCTGAGGAGGATGGGCAATGCTGGCAGCCTGTTCCTCCCCGGGAGAGCTCAGAGCCCTCACAGGGACCCAGGGGTGAGGGAGCCCCATGTTCTTAGCTGCATCCTCTCAGAGCAGAGTGTGTCCCATGGAGCTACAGGGGGGAGGTAGGGAGTCATGGTTCCTCAAGTGCCTCACACTCCCCTGTTCTTACCAAGCTTTCGGAGATTTTCTTGAACAAAGATTTCTTCATTTGCTATATGACCCTAGATGGTTTCCAGAGGCTATAAATCGTTGTGATGGTGGTGGTTTTTATAATTTTTGCCAGTTATGCTTGTTTTCCTGGCAAGCAGATCTACAGAGCTACTCAAGCCACCCTTCCTGATAGGTCTTTGAAGGCTTATTTGTATCCTACAGATTCATGTAAATTTTTGTTGCTTATTCTAATAAAAATGAATCTTAAGGTGTTTATTATTCTGAAAAATAAGCAGTTTTGAATTGTGTACCATGTGATTTCAAGTACCCCATCCTGCTACTATCCATCTCCAGAGTTCTGACCTCATGCCTCTGCTCTGCCTCCACATAGGGCAGAGCAGGTATATTTTATGGTCTTCCTCCTGCTAACAGGATGTAAGCTCCATGAAGGGAGGGACTTTGCCTGTTCTTTCATATTCTATCCCTCAAGCCCAGAATAGTGGCCTATAGTGGCTGTCTCATCAGTAATGTGTGAAAGGTGGCTTAGCTGGACAGAGCACCTAACCAGAGCCAGTGGAGAGGAGACAGTTGGGGGAAGGCCTGGGTGCTGGATGGGGAGAATGATTTTCTGAACTGCTTTTCCTTCTTCTACAGGATAAAACCCACTGTGTAATGTGGCCTCCCTTGTATTGGTATTACAGAATTACAGTTCTCAAAATATTGCTGGCAAGAGCTAGTCACACTAATCAGTAGAGCAAAATCAAGAGGCCAAAAATAAACCCCAGTAGATCTGGGCATTTGGTGACGAATGTGGCATTTCATATTAGTGGAGAAAAGACGAGGCATTCTGGAAGTTATGTCAGGACCTTCTGGAAAAAAATCATGCTGGGAATCCACCTCGTTCTTTGAACCTGTGTAAATCCCAGATCAAAACATTTAAATGTTTTTTTTTTATAATAAAGATTTTTTTTTAAATATTTTATTTATTTATTTGAGAGAGAGAGAGAATGAGAGATAGAGAGCATGAAAGGGAAGAGGGTCAGAGGGAGAAGCAGACTCCCTGCTCAGCAGGGAGCCCGATGTGGGACTCAATCCCGGGACTCCAGGATCATGACCTGAGCCGAAGGCAGTCGCTTAACCACCTGAGCCACCCAGGCGCCCTTAAATGTTTTTTTAAAGACTCCTTATTATGTAAATTTTCAGACATACAAAACTAGTCTAAACAGTGTAATAAACCCCCAAGCCCACCACCCAGTTTCAGTGGTTATGGGCCAGTTATGGCCAATCTTTTTCCTTTCTTTCTTTCTTTCTTTCTTTCTTTCTTTCTTTCTTTCTTTCTTTCTTTCTTTCTTTTTCTTTCTTTCTTTCTTTCTTTTCTTTTCTTTTTTTTAAAGATTTTTATCTATTTATTTATTTGAGAGAGAGACAGAGAGAGTGTGAGAGGGAGAGCATGATACGAGTGAGGGGCAGAGGGAGAAGCAGAATCCCCGCTGAGCAGGACCCGGCTGATCCCAGGATTCAGACCTGAGCCAGAGGCAACCGACTGAGCCGCCCAGGTGCCCCTGTTATGGACATTCTTACATCTTCTGTCCTGTGGCTTGTTTTCCTGTCCTGTTTTACTTGGAAGCAAGTGTCTAGAAGTTATGTGCTTTTCTTACTTTCTTAACATAGTCTTGATACTGTTAGCAAATTTAAAATACGGTATTAATTCCTTTATTCATCAAATGGTCAGTGTTCAAATTTCCAGTGTCTGTCTCCCTCTTGAGTTGTTTGAGTTAAGATACCAATAAGATCCATGCACTGAGATTGGTTGGTGTGTCTCTTTATGTCTCCTCCGTCTATAGGTCCTCACTCCAGCCTCTTCTATTTTACCACAATTTATTTGTTGAAGAAACCTGGTTATTTGTCCTGGGGAGTCTTCCTCTGCACTGTCTGCTGAGATGTCCTCTGTGAATCCTCTCTGCCCAGGAGGCAGATTCAGATCCCTTTGGTTTGGTTGGTTTTCTTAAGGCTGTTTCCAGCAGGATGCACACAGTGTCTGACTGTGTTGTGAAGCCAGTAGCCATCGACAACCAACTAGTAATTCACTGGAGGTTGCAAACAGTGATACTTTAATTGTCTAATTCTTTTTTTCATTAACTAGACAGACTAATTCTGTAAGGAGAATCTTCCCCAACCTACTTTATTACCTAGCAGTACCATTTTTGTAGCAGAGATAGAAGTAAAGATGAGTTATTCTTTCCACTTAATTTCCAGTTTCAGATCAATGAATTAGTTCACTGTGAGTTCACTAGCGTGCTTCAACTATGACCAATTAGGGTTTTGTGTTGTTGGTGTTCAGTAGCATTGTAAACTCATGGATTTGAGCATAGTTTGTTTCAATTCAGTATAAATATTATTCTTTTTAATATTCAGATTGTCCCATCTTTGGCCAGTAGGAGCCTCTGATTCAGACTAGCTCCTGAGTCCTTCCAACTTTAAGGTCTCAAACACCTTCGTATCTCTGAGGGCTCTGTTGTTGCCGGGTCTGAAAAGTTGTTCCAGCCTCTCGTGCACAATTCCTTGCCTAGACCTGGAATCAGCTGCTTTTCCAGGATTCCCTCGTTCCTTTCAGTGGAAAGGGATCTTTGAGGACCACCATCTCAGAGCTAGCAGTACTCATGGATATTTGCATAGTTATCATTTCTGGACAAGGCAAGGAAATCTTTTTAAGATAGAATTGGTCTTGAGCTTGTCTTATTACTTGCAATCCACATTCACTACTGTAAAATGAAATTCTTAGATCTTCATCTGGTCTCTCTTTCTCCCAAGCTTAGAATCCTGGTTGTCTACAATAGCCCGGATATGAGTATCACATGATGACCCACAATAGTCTCAGTATAACGCCAGCACCACCACCTTCATCAGTGCCAAAAGCAGTTTAAGGTGGGCTTTTTGCTTTGGGTTTTGTTTTGTTTCAGATCAAAGCACTTAATATGAGAAAATACTAGAAGAAAACAAATGATAATACCGGAGTAGAAGGTTCTTTCTAAGTATAACCCAAAAGCCATCAGTGGAGGGTTGGTCAAGAAAAGATTAATGTATTTGACCAAATTAAAAAGAAAAATTCTATACAACCAAAAAGTACCATAATCAAAGTAAAACCTCTACAAACCCACACTAGAGTGTCTAAGGTACTCCCACCAAGCACCAGCTCTCCTGGGTAGACTTCCCTGGTGGCCCCCTCACTTCCCCTCAGACCTGTATTGTAGTTGCACAGGGGGGAGGCGGGGGCGGCCGGGGGGTTGCTGGGTGTTCTCTTTACAGATGAGAAAAGTCTAACAAAGTCGAGTTCTTGTCCAAGGCATCAGCTGGATAGCGGCAAAGCAGGAGTGTGAGCCCAGTGTCCTGCTGTGGCACCCATTCTCCTTGCAAGGGTTAGTAGGGAGGCCAGTCATTGCTACAACTTGAAGCCCTTCAATTGCTGGGGCCATCAGTAGGCAGATGTCTTGTTTGTTGGAGTTGGTTATAGGCCTTGGCCCAGCTGAATCCAGCCTCATTCTGCTCTCCCCAGTTAGAGGTGCCTTCTACTGCTCAAGAGCCGCTGAGATGCCTGTGTTCATTCCTCAGTGCTGTGTAGACCCCTCTGAACCCACGGGGTGGGGCCACCAGAGATCCCACCATCATCCTGGTTCAGGAGGTTGACTGTTAACCTCACCAAAGCAACCATCCCTCAGCATCTGCAGAGCTACCTTCTCTCTCCATGCCCAGCCCCGGCTCTGAAACTCAGGCAATACTGAGTTTCTTGTGTTGGTATCTCTCCCACATATTGTATGCTACTTTGGGGAAGGCCCCATGCCCACACAGAATGAGTGTTTAGTAAATTTGTTGACAGAAACACCAGTGAGGTGATTTCTCAATGAATGTACATGGAATGCTTTGAAGAGGTGCGTAATTCGTCATAGCAGGTCAAGGGAAGGACCACCATCGTACACATTTGGGAGGCCATCACGTAAACCACTTTCTTTTTTCTAGGTGACATCAGACGTCCAAAGCATGTTCAACAGACTGACTTGGCTGCAACTCTAGCAATAGGTCTCGGTCTGCCGATCCCAGGAAACAGTGTCGGCAGCCTCCTGTTCCCTACGGTGGAAGGGAGACCGGTGAGAGAACAGCTGAGGTTTTTACATTTAAATGCAGTGCAGCTCAGCAAATTGTTGCAAGAGAACGTGCCCTCATACACAAAAGGTAACTCAGTTAATAGACTATTTCCACTGCACCTGGTGTTTTCCTGTCCATGCCGAGAAGTGTCAGCAGCTATCAGATGGTGATGAGTGCCTCAGAAAAAGGGCGGAGTGGGGAAGGGATGGGGAGCGCAGGTGGCTGAGGGCTGTCGGGGCAGAGGCCTGGCCTTTGAGACTCAGAGGGAGTGTGTGGCAGATGCAGGACCCTACAGTGGGGACGTGTCTGCACATTCGAAGGGTGACCAGGGGACAGAGTGGCCGGAGCAGGGTGAACTGGGGCAAAGCAGAAGGAGACGAGGTCAGAGGGATATGGAGGCCTTTTAGGCCTGGGGGGGCTCTTCTGTCGTGAGCTAGGTGGGGAGCTCATGCAGCCTTCCGTACAGAGTCTGAAATCTTCGAGCTGCATCTTCAGAGGCTCTCTTGGGTGCCCGTGTGGAGGGTTCTGCCTTGTGTTGTAGGAGAGCCTGAAGGCTGCTGCAGTACCCCAGTGAGAGGTGTGGTGAGGGACCAGGCAGTGGCGTGCTATATCCAGCACAGATAGCAGCATTCCAGGTATATTGTGAAGGCAGTGCAAGCAGGATTTGCTGATGCACTGGATATAAGGTGCAGGTGAACCAGAGGCATAAGGAACAACCTGGCACGTTCAGCAGCGCAGTGGAAGAATGGGGTGACCATTACTGAAGTGCAGGAGCGGGGTGCTTGCGGGGTGAGGGGATTGGTGTTGAGGAAGCCAAGTAAAGAAAGAATTTTAGGAAGGGAGGAGTGAGCGGCCAAGTTGAATGCTGCTCAAGGTTAGATGAAATGAGGAACCAAGATTTGACCATTCATCTGGCAGGTGAGGTTACCAGCGACTTTGTCAGGAGCGGTGCCCGTAGAGTGCTGGGGGAAGCCTAGGCTGGGGTCAGGGCAGGGAAGGAAGTGGGGCGTGGAAATGGCTGTTGTGTGAGGTGGATGGAGGCCAACACAGGGTATGTTGTTTATATATATTTTTTAAAGATTTTATTTATTTTTCGACAGAGAGAGACACAGTGAGAGAGGGAACACAAGCAAGGGGAGTGGGAGAGGGAGAAGCAGACTCCCCGCTGAGCAGGGAGCCCAATGCAGGACTCGATCCCGGGACTCCGGGATCATGGCCTGAGCCGAAGGCAGACGCTTAATGACTGAGCCACCCAGGCGCCCCTGTTGTTTATATTTTTAAGCTGGGAGAAACTAAGGGGTATTTATATGCTGGTAGGAATGATCCAGAACAAGAGAGCACATCTTCCCAGGACCATCTTTTCAAACAATTTATCTGACCATCAAGGTGCATCAAGGACAACATGTTTGGTGCTGGGACTGGAGCTGGTTTCAACGCCTAGTTTGAGGCAGCATTTAATGTGATGTTGGCAGCTTTTGCTACTTGAGAAAGTGGAGTACCAGTTAGTAGAGTGAATGCCCATGAGTTTGAGCTGAGATGTAGGCTGGTCTTGACTTGCCTGTGAAGACCAGCAAGGACTAGTGGGGTCCGGGGTGTCCTGAATGGTGGGGGATCTTAGGAGGCCAGCCCCTTCTTGGTGAGGTGGCCCCTGTGAGAGCAACTGCGTGAAAAGTGAGGCTGGCCCAGACGCACATTTCAGTCCAGGGGAGAGACAATAGTTACTTTATTTGTTTTCAAAAGTAACTTGTGTGTTTGGTAGCTTTTGCAAATTTGTTATTGGTAATATGTGTCCTTTTTCCTGTACTAACAACCAATAAAACACCAAACAAAACCACAATGGGGGTTTTTTGCTTATTTCAGGAGGGTCAGTAGGGAGAATGGAGCACTGCAGTGGGTGTGGCCAGAAAGAACGCTATGAGATGAGCAAAGGCCAGTCCCTGGCATGAGAAAGCCCTCTGTCTATGCCATCAGTGTTCCTGTTTCCTGAGACGAAACTGGGTACATGTCTGACACTGAAGTCAATTTCAAGGCCTCCCCTGTTATCCAGCCCAATCTGATACAACTCTCCCATCGCTCCCCTGACTTTTATTACAGTTGTACAGACTTTTCTCACCTCAGGACCTTTGCACGTGCTCCTCCCATAGACTGGATGCTCTTCCCCAGTTATCACCTGATGGATTTCTGGGCCACCTTCCACTTCAGCTTCAGTGTCAGACCTTCTTGTCCCCCACCCTCAACCCCAGATTTCAGTCAGTTTCTTCAGTGTTACCAAAAGTCACCCACATTCCCCTACTTTCCTCCATAGCATTTTTCACAATTTGTACTTACACGCACATGGGAGAACCCAGCTAGATCACAGGCCCAAGCAGGCAGGAACTATACCTGTTTGCACGTAGCATGTAGTCAGTGCTCAGTAAATACTTGTTTGGATACATATACAGGTGTCCACTTCTTGATGATTCTAGGTGGTGGGGTATAGACACTGCTGCCCCCATGTCTCTGCGATTCTGGGTATAGCCACAGGTGCCCCCATGTCTCTGTTGACTTCAGGATGGTGGGGTGTAATAATTAAGCTTTCTATCCTAGGTCTAGACTAATTGAGTTTAGATCCCAGCTGTTACCTGCCAGCCCATGAGCTGGTGTCTGTGTGCCTTCTCTCTGGGGTGGGCATGGTTGTCATCCCTATCTCAGTTCATGGGGAAAGACCAGGCGTGAGGGGCTTGGAGTCATGCCGGCCACCAGCACTTGGTCACCTGGTATCCGCAGCACTGGCAGGGCTTCAGGCATTTGGGCTGTGCTCAGGCTTATACAGCAGCCCTAACCCTAATCCTGCAAGACATGGCCTAGACCACCTTGGAATAGCTCTGCTGGAAGTCGGAAGAGCACAATAAATACCATGGAGTCTCAGAAAGGAAGTTCTTGTTTTGCAGACTGGTTGAGTCACCAGTAAGTCTGGTCCAACTCCAGAAGGAAGCAAGGCAGCTTCCTGATGCTGAGCTGCCTGCCATTGCCGTCCCAGAGTGGGAGCCAGCAGCATTTGGGGCTGGGCTTCAATCCAGGAGCTGTTCTGTCAGCCCTAGTGTGCATCGGGTTGGGTCCTCTAGCTCGGCATCATGGCAGGAGGGGTCAGGCCGTGTGAAGAAGGGAAGCAGGTCAAAGGTGGGAAATTTGTAACACCAAGGGCCTATTAATGTAATGCCTTTCTAGGTTGTTTTGGTTTTGTCTTTTAAAGATTTTATTTACTCATTTGTCAGAGAGAGAGAGCACACACAAGTGTGGGGAGCAGCAGAGGGAGAGGGAGAAGCAGGCTCCCCGCCGAGTAGGGAGCCCGATGCGGGGCTCCATCCCAGGACCCTGGGACCATGACCTGAGACGAAGGCAGACGCTGAACCGACTGAGCCACCCCGGCGCCCCTGGGGTGTTTCTATATTGCATATTAAAGAAGAAAAGCTTGGAGAGAGACTGAGAGAGAAAGGGGAGGAGGAGGAGGCAAGGGCAGGTGTGGGAGGGAGAGAAAGGGCAGCAGAGCAGTGGGCAGACGCCTGTATCCATGCTGTGTGCTGCTTTGTGCCTCGGGCCATGGCAGGCTGGCAGGCAGGCGGGATGTCCGAGGATTCATGAGCACCGTTGGCTGTTAGTTTAACTGAAGGTGTTGCTGGCCACCCCCTAAGGAATAGTTCATCTTCATTAGGTAGCAGGCTTTATGCTCACACCACGTGCTGTGAATGACTGAATACTTTGAACTGATATATGTGCGTGAATGTCTATGATCTGTATGTGTAACCTTGTCCTCTTCTTGTTAGAGCCTGGATTTGAGCAGTTTAAAATGTCAGAGAGGTTGCATGGGAACTGGATCAGACTGTACTTGGAGGAAAATAACTCAGAAGTCCTTTTCAACCTGGGAGCCAAGGTTCGAAGGCAGTACTTGGATGCCCTGAGGACCCTGAGCCTGTCCCTGAGCAGACAAGTGGCCCAGTATGACATCTACTCGATGCTTGTGGGGACTGTCATGGTTTTGGAGGTACGGGAGCTTGTGTGGAGTTATGGCTCAGCCGTTAAACTGATTTGATATCTCAGCCAGAATATTGTAGTTTAAAGCATATAAAATATTATTTTTTCTGAAAATGGGAAAATACCAGTTTCCTTGTTTGTTGAACTCTTTCATTGTGTGTCGTCACGCCCAGAGTATCGTCAGGCGTCAAGTGGCTGTGCTCCACATGGCTGCATGTGTACGTTCTTGGCAGGTCACCAGAAATCGTGTTCAATGGGCTTTCTTCTTCTGTTTCCAACATTCGAATAGGTGGCACAAGGTCAGGAGACAGGCTTTTTCTGAACAGTTCTCTCCGAGCCCAGCAGTCGTGGACACTGCTGCTGTTTTCCTGTTCCAGGTTCTAGCCCTGCTCCTACTCAGCATCCCGCAAGCTCTGAGCAGCAAGGCTGAACTGGAGGTTCCTCTCTGGTCGCCTGTGTTTTCTCTGCTGTTTTATTTGATGTTCCTGGTTCTTTCTGCTCTTCACGTCATTGTGTGCACCTCGGCCGAGAGTTCCTGCTATTTCTGTGGCCTCTCATGGCTGACAGCAGGCGGAGTGATGGCATTGATCTCTGCACTGCTCTGTGCAGTCGTGTGTGCTCTTGCCAAGATGTTTGCCGATGGAAAATTCCTGAGCAAGGTAAGGCTCGTTCCTACACACAGGACCCTGGCTTTCTGAATAGGCCATTTTCTCTTATTTCAGCTGATGTTTCCCCTTCATCAGACACTGGCTAAACACCAGGTGTGTATCAGGCGGAGTCAAGGAGCCAAGGACAGGAGCCCACACTTCAGAGGGGCCAATGTGTGAGCATCCTGACTTCAGACACTCAGATCTGTGTTGTCAGGTCATGTGCCTCATTTCTTTATGGGAAAGACAGGGTCCCTGTGACGGTAAACATGACACTGTACAGAGCTGTTGGTCACAGAAGAATAGGCAGTTGGCTGATGGGGCAGTGTGTGAATCAGACGTCTCTCCGAAAGAGTTTGAGTGGCAGCCACGGGAAGAACGTTTCAGAGAGAAAAGAGTCAACTCGTTAGACCTTCTGGGAAGGTCGGCAGGCGGCCGGGACCCTGGCCTCACCCTGCCCTCCTCGGGAGTCCGTCCTGCCTTTTCTTTTCAAGACTGATGTTTTCCTTTAGATTTCTTAGAATCTTTGGCCCCTGACACCTTTATTCGTGGTGGTGGTGGCAGACCAGTGAAGCAGAGGTGGACAGCCACGGTTGGTCCATGATGCCAGGAGCCCAAGGGACTCAGGGAAGTGACTCCAGCCTCCCCACCCCCACCCCCAGTGCAGCTGCCTCACCTCGAAGCCATCTGATGCCCCTCCCTGCGTGCGTGCGTCTGAGGAGCTCATGGGTTGTTGTTTACGGCACATTTCTGTTCCCCGTTAGAAAGCATAGGTTTCCCTAGAGCCGTTTGGCTCCCTGGGGCCTAAACAGATTCCCGGGGTCTCTCGTTCTTTCTTATATAGGCTGTACACGATAAGTAGAGTAAATATTATTAGGTAGTTGTCAAATGACAGTCATTAAATTCTCATCTTTAATTTTAAATGCTTTCAGTTAGTATATTTAAAGGATAGTACTGTGATGCCAACTTTGTTGTTTCAATAGAATTGACCGTTTTAATGAAAACTGTCTGGATTTCTGGAAAAGTCATGGCAAAATTAGATGTCTGCTTTGGTGGAATATATCCGGGGGGTTCTTTGGTTTCAAATAGCAGGAACTGACTGTGGACCACCCCTGAAGACCTCAGGCTCCCCAGGAAAGGGTGAGGGTTCCAGAAGGGCTGGTAGGTGAGCTCTAGGAGCTGCAGCCCTGCCCAGATGGCGTGGGTCACTCAGCTTAGGGCTCGCAGTCCAGGGAGACCACTGCCCTTGCCCCGGGAGGATAGGCAGTCCCATCAGCGCAGGAGATGGGTGTGGGGCATGAGGAGCAGCACGTACCTGTCACAGCAGGTTATGCTCTGTGAGCAAGAACTTGAAGTGCATGTGGTGGGAGTTGTGTAATTTTTATATTTTTCCTCACAAAATGCACTTTCCTTTTACAGAATCCAGCTCATCCAAAGGCACGATGGTCAGAGTTAGATGTTCTTATCTTACTCGGGACCATGGGCCACGTGCTGAGTCTGGGTGCAAGCAGCTTCATCGAGGAGGAGCACCAGACCTGGTATTTCCTCATTAATACCCTGTGTCTGGCTCTGTGTCACGAAACCTACAGAAACTGCTTTCTGAGGGACGACTGTGAGCCCCAGCAATGCTCACACGTGGAGGAGGGATTCGTCAGCACTGCACCAGCATTACGGGACAGGAGCATCCGCTGTAACATGTTAGAGCCCCACAGAGTGTCTAAGGGCCCCACTTCCCTTGACACGCTCAGAGGCCATGAGAAGTGGATGGTGTTAGCAAGCCCATGGGTGATACTTACCTGCTGTCGGCTGCTGCGGTCGCTAAACCAGACGGGTGTGCAGTGGGCCCACCGGCCTGACCTGGGGCATTGGCTCACCAGGTGAGAGCATGAGCCATGGCCTTAGGCCAGACCTTGCATGGTTGAACTGACCACACAGTCTTCTTTTTCAAAATGTAGGCCTGTTTTTCATATCCAGAACAGAAGTGGTATTTGAGATCTGAAGAAATGGAAACATAGACCGTAAGCCATGATTTAATGTTGAAAGATGGGTTTATTTGGGTTTTTTTAATTGCTGAATCACTATAATTGTTTGTTTGAAAACCTTTGAGTTTTAAAATGACAACTGCAGCAAGGATGTAGTTTTGTCACTTGCTGCCACCTCCCTGACAAGGTAGGGCTGGAACGGGGCCACGCTCCCTCTGGCCACCCACTCCTCTCTCCCCACCCTGAAGCCAGTGGCTGGACAGCCTAGTCAAAAGTATAGCAAATGGGGAGGATCAAAGCAAAGAGAGGGAACTGGGACAGAAAAGGTCAAGATTTGGCTGTATCAGGTCGAGAGAGAGAGAGAGTGCCCACAAGCAGGGGGAGCGGCAGAGAGAGAAGCAGGCTCCCCGCTGAGCAAGGACCCGATGTGATGCGGGGCTCAATCCCAGGATCCCGGGATCATGACCTGAGCCAAGGATAGACGCTTACCTGCCTAAGCCACCCAGGCGCCCCTATGTTATACATTTTAATTGTCTGTCAGTGAAGACCTAGAAAACTAAAGTAGAAGGAAGAGAACAGAATGGACATTTGTTTCCTGTTGCTGTGAAGGACTTACATGAGAATCACCAGCAGGAGGCGGGGCTCAGGACAGTGCCAGACATGTTCCTAAAGGAGGGAATGCCAAAAGAAAGACAAGGGACGTGCTCGCCCTCCTGGGGATCAGGGAGCTTTGGGTCAAACAACAAGGAGTGATTTTACTCAGTCAGGTAGACACACAGAAGGAAGTGATGGAACCCAGTCCTGGGTAGCAGCAGAGGACCCCTGACCACACGCTGCTGTGGTCCTTTGGGAAGATACCTGGAACTATCCATCAAAAGCTATAAAAATCATTCCTCTGGTCAAATAATTCTGGTGGGAAATTTTTCCCAGGTGTTAACTCTTGTTGACAAACCCCTGGCAACCACAGGAACCACAGGCAGCTTTTTCCAGGTGCCTGCCGTGTGCCTGCTCATTTCATTTTCACAGCAAGCCTGCAGAGAGCTTGCTGGCCTGTCCCACCTCAGAAGAGGAAGCGGAAGGGAGTTGAGGCACCTGACCAAGCATGTGAGGTTGGGAGAGCCCGGGACAGCCCAGTGGCCTCACTTCTTATTTTTCTGGAGAGTTGAAGCAGTGCAGGAGAATGTGCTGATTCCCAGGCCCTGATGCACCCCCTCCCCCATACCCCTCCGTCTGGACCCTCCTCCAGCCCCTGATGCACCCCCCTCCCCCACACCCCTCCGTCTGGACCCTCCTGCAGCCCCTGATGCACCCCCCCACACACCCCTCCGTCTGGACCCTCCTCCAGCACACTCTTCCCAACAGGACGCCTCGCTCCTGCCTCGCGAGTCTTCCCTGTGCTGCTGAGTTACTCCTGTTGGTGAGGAGGTGGCAGTGCGGCCCCATTTCTCTTCATAGCAGAGCTTCTGGGGAGGCATGTAAACTCACCTTCCTTATTGCTGTTTTTCAGTTGTTATAATTAACAGTCCAGGAGAGTGCACAATACACAGTGTAAAGGGCAACAGTGAATGGACACCCAGGTGACCGCCTCCCAGAGCAAGGACCAGGGCAGGGCCAGGCCCCAGCATGACCCCTGTCACCACCTGCCATCGCTGGGCCCATGTCTTGACACTGGCCACATCTTTCCTCTGAGTCTTTTCCAAGTAGTTTTTCCACTGATGTGTGTTCACTTTGGCAAGATAGTCACTCATCCACTTAACAACTCTGAGTGTCTGGGCTTTGTGAGCACGAGCTGTGGTGAATGACACAGAAAAGAATCCTGCCTTCCAGCACAGCCCTCCCGAGGTAGCAAGATGGTGGGCCAGGGCCAGGCAGAGAGGGGGGCCCAGCTCTGCTGTGACAGCTTTGTGCTCCAAGCGGAGATGCTCAGCCCCTCTGCAAAGTCTCCCCGCCTAGGAACGAGCAGACACTCTTCGAGTGAGTCAGTCTGTGCCAATGAGTGAATGAGAGAGAATCACGCCGGGACGTGCCTGTCTCCATGAGCAGGGTGTTCGCTGGTAAATCCATTGTGCCCAGAGTCTCTTCACCTCTGGGTGGGGAAGGTGGGGCTGCCAGGGGAGCCAGTGGATAGTGTTTTGTACAGATCACTGCACTGGCCAGTGAAGGCCTGGTGGCAAGGGACCATTTGTGAATGGAAATGAGAGTTTGGGGTAGCCGTCCTTCATTTGTTACATTTTAAGAAACTTTGAATTTAAATCACCAATGATTTTCTTTTCTTTTTTGCTTTTCAGAAACATCAGCTAAGTTCTTAGAAAGCCACTTGATGTAGATCCATGACATCGCCAGTTACACTTGTTAGTAATTTGGGGGCTTTTCCATTTCATTTCAGCTCAGATCACAAAGCCGAACTCTCTGTTCTGGCTGCCCTTTCGCTCATCGTGATTTTCGCACTGGTTCAGAGGAGGTGCTCTCTGACGTCAAAAGTAGCCATGGCACTTGGGCTGCTGGGCGTCTATTGCTACCGGGCAGCCATTGGAAATGTCCTGTTCCCATGGCAACGAGACAGCAAAGACATTTCAAAGTAAGTGCACTGGCAAATCGATTTCATGTTTTAGGTACTAAAGCAGGCCATGCAGTCTTGAGAACTTTGGAGTTGGTTCCTGCGAATTGTGATCTCAGCAGTTAGTAGAGCCTGACAAGGAATGCCTCAGTGAACGAATTCTTTTAGCCTCTTTGTTTTGGGAGGAGAGAGACAAATAATGCAGTAGGGTCACTGAGCTTTCTTTTTTAAAATAAGGGGTACTCTGAAAATAAGGAATTTAAAGGGTTTACTTTTGCTCGGTCAAGACATAGTAACAGGAATCACAAAGAGTGGTTGCCTCCTAGCAGTTGGGAAATAAAGCACACCAGAAAAATCAGCTCTCCCATAATTTACGGTGCGCTCCGGGGGCGGGGAGGGGCCCCTCAGTGCTGAGTCATGAAGGCCACTTTTTGTCACAAATTGGCAGCTTTTCTTTTTTTAATGGCGATGTGGGGTGGGGTTAGCAGAGGCCATCCTGGAGGCTGTTTGTAAAACGTGTTAAGAACCTTGAGTGTGTCCAGCCCTCTGACCTGGGCACCCTCTTACGGAATGTACCTCAGGAATCCACCCAGAGACGAGGCCTGAAACCGGGACACAGGCAGGCTCTCTGAAAACTGATTTACAGGTGCACATAATACAAAACAAGGTAATTGGCCAACAGTGGTGGGATGAGCCTCTGAATGATGTTAAAGCTCTGTGCTGACTAGTGTGTTTTCATAGAAGACATGAAGATGTGGATCGACAGGCTGTAAAACTATTGTATGACCCCATCTTATGAAGTATGTACATTTTTTTTTATGTTTGTATGAAAGACTAAAAAAGGTAATTGGTTGTGATTATATTTAGGACATGGAATCACAGGTAGCTTGTGATCTTCCTTTTCATGCATTTTTGTATTGCTTTTCTAGTCAGAGAAAGAAAAGCAAATGTCATCTTCTCTGAAAAGGTCAAGGTGTAAGCTGAGGGCTGTGACCAGGCTGTGTGGGTGCCCAGAAGCCAGGGGGCACACCTGGAAGCAGGACCTGCCGACGGTAGGGGCAGTTGAGGTGACGCCAAGAGCCTGGCTGAGGTGACAGCAGGGTGGCAGGCCTTCTCCTGAGGCAGCAAGGTCAGGTAGGGGGAGGATGGTGGGGAGACATCTCAAAGGCTGTCCACTTTGGAGCCTGAGACTCTGAGCAGATGTCAAGGCTGGGCGTCACGTTTGAGGGTGTTCAGGTGTGAAACATGAATAAATTCCTCATTTCCTCTCAGATCAATGCACCTAATTTCATGATCACTCATCTCAAGACTTGGACCACTTGCCTTTTGTGGATGCCACAGCATATACCTTGCTGGTGTCCAGAGCGTAGACCAGTGCACCCTTTCATTAACCTGCAGTGCTTGCCTCCCATTCTTCCTGGAAAATGCTTCCATTCCCCAACCCCATCTACCCTGGTTCTGGATCCCTCTCACTTCTAGCTCTACCCCAATTCCGGAGCCATCCAGGTTCTAGCTCTAACAGCTGCTTCTCACTGTTCAGTCTGTAGCTGTCCATCGATATTCTAAAATCTTCCTTTACTTCTGACTTTCTTCACCACTCTGAATCCCAGGCTTGGCTGGAGTAGATGGCCGGATTGCCATGGTCCTAGACGTGCGGGAATGGCAGCATGGTTTAGGGCAAGGAGCTGGACCCTAGGAGGCACCCTCTTGTGCTGTCTTTCCTGTTCACCCCCCAGACTGCCCCGGCGTTCTTCCGCTCTAATGACTCGGGACCTGGGCTGGTTGCTCCTTCTTTAACCCTGTGGGTCGGTCATCAGCTCTCCGTTTCGTACACGCCTTGGCGACGGGGTTGCACCTGACCCCAGCTCCTTGGCCAGTGTGTGACCCCATGGCAAGTGTCTACACACGGGAGGAGGTACACAGCAGACAGTGGTCTGACTGTCGATTTACACTGTGCTTTAATAAAAGGTATTTTTTTAAGTGCATAAACCTTCCTAAGAAAATCTGAGATAGGAAAATTCAGTTTTTCAAAACAGATACAGGAAAATTCAGTTTTTCAAAACAGATACATTATTATGGTGATGATTTCATTTAAAATTTAATTTACTTAGCATTACTTTAAATGATTAGCTTTTCTTGTATATATAAAATATTTGATTTATGGAATTTATTTAAAATGTGTTTTAGGGATGCATGTGTTTCATAAGATGAAATTTTTGATAGAGCGTCATAAATTATATCCTTTACAAATAATTGGAAATGAAATGCTAACATAATTCTCTTTTTTTTTTTTAGATTTTATTTATTTATTTGAGAGAGAGAGTTAGGGAGAGAGAGCACAGGCAGGGGGAGGAGCAGAGGGAGAGGGAGAAGCAGACCCCCCGCTGAGCAGGGAGCCCGACAACGCGGGTCTTGACCCCAGCACCCTGAGATCATGACCTGAGTAAAGGCAGACGCTTCACCGACTGAGCCACCCAGGCACCCCTAAAATATTTCTTAATAATCCTTAATACTTGTGTGCCGCACACTTTACCTGTGTTCTCTTGTTTAATTCCCAGGACAGCTTATGAAGTGTAGGTACCATTTCTCTTCATTTTAGGAATGATGAAGTGATCGTCAGAAGCCTTAACTAACTTCCCCCAGCAGCAGAGCTAGTAAGCGGCAGAGTCCTGACTAACCTGACCCTGACCTTCTCTAGGCCCCACATTGTGCACTGCACTTGGGTGCTTGGTTGCAAACACGTCCAAATGTATCTTAACATTATGAACTTAGGGACGTTTCTGACAGAACTTGGCCCCATCCTGTTGCAGTGGTCTTTCAGACTCACCGTGAAGCCACTGGATGATTTTTCCAGCACCCTGCAGGTGATGGTTCTAGTCTTGCACCAGGCTATCCTTGGGCCAAACAAGCGAGATTTCCCAGAAGCCGGCTCCACCACAGAAGTACACAGAGAGAGGACAGGCCTGCCAGCCTCTGGGCAAGGGGGGGTCCTGGGGGGCTGATACGCAGAAGCAGACACCCCCACTTCCACAGAGTCACCCAGGTGGGCGGGTGCTGCGGCTTATCTAGTCAGCTAAGTAGACACGTGGTTTTCATGGGAAGAATATGTATGAATTTTTTGAGCTGGTGCTAACGAATCAAACTTGTTATCCTTTTTTTTTAGGGGTGTTATTGAAGCTCGTTTTGTTCATGTCTTTGTCCTTGGCATTCTGTTCACGGGCACCAAAGACTTGCTTAAATCTCAAATCATTGCTGCAGACTTCACCAGCAAGACTGTGGGTTTATGGGAGATATATAGTGGATTAGTTCTTCTGGCCGCTTTGCTTTTTAGACCACATAATCTGCCAGTCTTAGTGTTTAGCCTCTTCATTCAGACTATAATGACTAAATTCATCTGGAAGCCTCTGAGGCATGACGCAGCTGAGATCACTATAATGCATTATTGGTTCGGTCAAGCATTCTTCTATTTCCAGGTAGGTTTTCATTATTATCGTGGATAGAAATCTATTAACTTTTTATATGTCATTTATCTTTTTTCTTTGAGAAAATTTACCATAAGTTGGGAAGTTAGAAAGGTTGTTCAGTGAAGGAAATTTCAGTGTGCTGTGGGGAATGATGCTTAAATCCTGTGTGTATTTGATAGGATAAAATACACTTAGTTATCTAAGACTGACACCCTTGGTATGGATCCAGGAGTGCTTAAGACAGCGTATTAAGCACTGTACGTTGTGTACTGGATCTGTTTACCATGACCCATTAGGGACACCCATCACAGTTCCATTGCTTTACCTGATGAGGTGATGACTGAACTCTCTCTGCCTGTTCCCCTGGCCATCAGTGCCGAGTGCTGCTGGGTGTCCTTACTTGGTTCTCAGTCCCCTGGGGCCCTGTGGTCATCATGTCTTCTCTCCAGTGTTAAAGGGCCCACCAGAGGCAAGTCTAAGCTGCCTCTGGGATGGATCTCAGTGTTTGCCTACGTGCTTGGAGCGGCACCTGGACAGGTGGACGGAGGAACCAGCTCCCGGTCTGGGAGGGACTCAGTTCCATCCCAGCCTTCCCGTATCTCTGCCCTGGTTCAGGGGGCCCCACACTCCACTACCGGCTCCACACCCTCTGGCAGAGGAACTGTGCACAAGCCCCTGAGCATCTCTGTTGTGTTTTCCCATCTCTATGGTGAGGATCTGTACTGTCTCTGTGCACCAGGTTCTCCCTCCTCTTTCAGTCCCTGGGGACTTGTGTGGTCTGTGTGTCCCCACAGGTGGGCCTGGGGCTTCTTCCCTGCCCTTCCCACTTCTCCCCTGCTTTGCCGGCGCTCCTGGTCTCACCCACAGAGCAGCCCCCCCGCCACCCCCACTGTTCTCTCTCTGTTCCCGGAAGCCCAGAGAGGGGTGAGGGGGTGGGGGGAGTTCTAGAAATCCATGTCCTGGAGGATGTGACCTGACCCTCAGACCCTCCTTACCGTCCATCTCCCCTGGAGGACCCCCGTACTTCTCAGTCTAGCCCTGCACGTGGGTGGCTGTAGCCCCGACACTGGTGTCCAGCACTTCTAAGCCAGATGGCCTCTGGCAGCACCTGCTGTGCCCTAGTCTCATCTATAAAATGGGCTGCTCCACAGCTGTCTCCCCCTCGGCTGCTGTAAGGGTCGAGTAGTGACAAACAGGAGGTAGGTATCCTGTGTAGTCGCTCTCTGTGCTTGCTGGTGTTCCACAGGACCTGTAGGGAAGGCATGACTGGGGTCTGTAGGACCTGGAGAGTGACTGCACCTCCCTGGAGTTGCTGCCCATCCCGGGAGGTGTTGGTGACTGAGGGCCACACTGACGAGCAGCTCACACCGTCACAGAGACGTGCCGGTCAGCTCCGCCCCATTGCAGGCTGGCCTCTGTTGAGCCTCATGGTCTTTCAGCTGTGTGTGTCTCCATGGTGTCAAGCAGCCCCATCTCAAAGGCCACAACTTTTCTTACCTATCAGAAGAAATGTAAAAGGTCACCAGCCTTGTGGATGTGAGGGAATGCAGTTTGCCCAGGAATTCCAGAATGCCCGCTGGGAAGGGGAAGAAGATAAAGGAGGCAGTTGTAAACACTGCACCTCGAGCTGCAGAGGAGAGAGGCGCGGGTCTAGAGTCTGCTTCTGGGTGAGACCTGCTCTGCCTTGTTGGTAGCGACACACCTGTGTCAGGGTTCTTTCACGCTTGGCCATTCAGTGTAACTGATGTGTTGCTGTAGAAGGACTTTAAGCTTTGCTAAGCATTCCAGAAATTTCTAGATGGCTTGTCAGCCTCACAGTCCTCACTTTGAAAGTCACGCACAGGCCTCTTCTGGTGGTGGCCTCCGTCCAGGAGTTCTGCGTCTCTGACCACGAGTGCCCGGGTGGGGAATGGGAATGCCATCACCGCGGAAAATCACCACGCCCCTCTCCTTGTCCAGGCTCCCGGGCACCGTGCTGGACAGCGACCATGTCCGGTGAGCACAGAGCGCCCCAGGGGTGTATGGATAGCCAGGGCTCCTTGTGGGTGTGGTCCTGGCATATCTGCAGATAATGGCCTGGTGCTTGCGGACTGGTCGCGTGGTAGACCCTGCTGGCACAGGTGGTGAGAGTCCAGTGGGCTGCCTCTGAGTCCAGAAGAAGGTGGCTGCCGGTTAGGCACCCTGGCCCGCACTGAGGCCTTGGTGTCAGGAAGACTGACAGAGCCACAGTCATGCCCCGAGCGAGGAGACCACCTCACGTTCTGTGTGCTCCTCTGTGGCACGTAGCCACATTCCACGGGGAGGTGACGAGGCATCCATGATGGCGCACGGTGCTGGTACTTGGCAGCGGAATGCACGTGTCCGATACCACTGGTGCCCCTGCAGCGTCACCGGTCCGTGCCGGGGGTCTGTCGGCACGCAAAATCAGCACAGACCCTGGCGCATCAGGCAGTGACCGACAGCAGTGCGGGCCTCCCTCGTCTCAACCCTGCCCATAGCCCTTCCGTCACGGTCAAGTTTCCTGGGAGAAGACCTGCAGGCTTGCTGCCCCTCCTTCCTGCCCTCAGCTCGGGGACGCCTGGTCGCACAGGGGTCGGGAGTATGGTACCCAGCTGGCCTCCTCTGGGTCTCTGTACCTCAGTGTCCTACCAGTTCACTGGCACACAGTGGCACAATGTGAGGACTGTGGAGGATTAAATGAGTGGGTGCAAGTAAAGCCCCAGAGCAGGCGACTTCGCAGTGTTGGAACCGTGTTTCTGTCGTTGTCATGCCTCCCCTCCTGCAGCGCTTGGGACTCTTGTTCTTCCCTCTTCTCAGCAGCTCTGGGGTCTCCTCAGTCTGTAGCGAGGGGCTTCTAAGTAGGAATTAAGTAATCAGGAGAGAGCCCAGGCAGCCACAGGCCAAGTGGCTGAAGGGGAAGCTGCACAGTGGAGGTTGCTGTCAGGGGAGGGGCCCGCTGTAACAGGGTGGTGAGGATGGGAGTAAATGCATGTCTTTGAGATATTTGGGAAGTCTGCCACCATGACCCGGTGGCCGCCTGCAATGACACAGCAAAGGAGGAAGGTGGTGGGGTTCCACTGTCACATTTGTGAAGCCATAAACACCCAGCTGGAGTTGTGTCCTGGGCCATTGATAAGTGGTTCCAGGAGGGGCCTTAGTTGGACTGGGACAGACAAATGTCAAACTTATAAATGTCCGGAGTAGCTGAGGAAAGGACACCAGCAGTGGTAAAGACCGAAAGTGGAGAGAAGAGCTGAATCTAGGAGAGGTTTCCCTTGGATGCAAACCCCACCCTCCTATGCAGGATGAGCTATGCATTATTACCCCCAGGGCTGGGCGGTGACCCACCAGGGTCTCGGGTCTGACACACCAAGCCCTCCCAGTGACCAGCGTGCCCTGTTCAGGCCTAACAGCGGTGTCCACCCACTGAAGGAGCCATTTGGCAGCACCACCCCCAGCCTCCCCTTGGCCACTTTGCCTCCCAAGGCCAGGTGCAGCCCTCCAGACAGGTCCCCCAGCACAGGGAGGTCAGCGTGTCTGTCTCAGGTAGATAGATGCTTTACTTGCATCCACTCAGAGCTGAGAGGAGTTTGGAATTTGCCATAGTTCATCAGCAGAGCTTTATTTGTTTAGTTTCTTGAAGGTAGAAGACGTTTCACTTGTTCCTCCCCACCTGGAAGTAAGGTGGGAAAGGGGTGGGCCGGCACCTGGGGCTCCCGTGTGTCCATGTCGCCATGACCGCATGTGGCTATTTGTGGTTGCTGGTGGCCGTGTCAGTGCTGCTTCTCCCTGTGTTCCAGGGAAACTCCAACAACATAGCCACGGTGGATGTCTCAGCGGGCTTCGTGGGCCTGGACACCTACATGGAGGTCCCAGCTATGTTCCTGACAGCGTTTGCCACGTTTGCAGGGCCTGTGCTGTGGGCCAGCCACTTAGTGAGCTTCCTGAGCTCAGAAACCAGCAGGTGAAGCTCCTTCTTTGTCTTTCAGCACTAAATCTGATGGGAGGTTGACAGTTTGAAGAGAGCATCTTACTCCAGATACAGGGTTCCAAACCCCAGGGGCCAAAAGGTCTTCATCAGTTTTCTTTTCCTTAAATAAGAGTGAACAGTCCACAGCATGTGGGCCAGAGGCAGGTGTAAGTGCAGGTCTGTGGCCACCCTGTGTCAGGATGGCTGGGGAGGCTGTGGGGCTCTAGCTTCAGCTGCTCTCTTCCAGCTCCTACCACGACGTGGTTGCCTGGGGCACAAGAAGGAAAATCTCTTCTGGTTTCTCTGCTTTGCTGGTGGCCTCGTTGGGTAGGGCAGGCAGGGAGGGATCTCCTGTCCGGGGCATGAAGACAAGACATGCTGGCTCTCACCTCCAGGGTCCCTGCTGCAGAGAGGAGCCTGCAGAGGCCCAAAGGGCTTCAGGCTTGGGGCCCGTGCCCTGCCCTGCCACTGAGAGGCCTCCTCAGGCTCCACGTGGCCCCCAAACCAACGGGGCAGCTGACGCCACCCTCCTGCCCATCACGCTCCTTGGTGCTTTCTTACTTGTTTACACATTGGTCCTCCCAGAAAGAGGGCTTCCTAAGGCGGGGACGTTGCAGTCTTTGGGCACCACGGTGACTCAGTGCCTGGGTCCAGCCTGGCAGAGTGTGGCCTGAGTGGTATGTGGGCTGTCTGATTCTGTAAAATGGGGTGATGGTGTTGCCTCCTGAGGTTGAGGGGCCTACATGAGGAGTTCCACGGGTGCTGCAGGTGGTGTGAGCAGCCATGCTGTGTCTGTCAGGGCTTCCCCGGTGCCCCGTTCCCAGAAGCACCTTCCCATTTCTTAAGCTACTCAGTTAACCCACAGGCATGCCCCCCACCCCCACCCAGATGCCAGCATCTTGCTCAGGTGCAGGACCAGCCTCCACATGCTGAGTGGTCCGTGTCTGCAGGGCGCAGACAGTTAGGGAGGTCCTGTCTGCAGGGCGCAGACAGTTAGGGAGACCCTAAAAGGACACTGTTCCTGCCAAATGTACCCCTGTGTCTCCAGTCTTCCAGGGGGAAGAACTGGAACTTGGCTTTAACCAGAGCCTGGAAAGCCTGGCCTCTGAGGATTTGTGAGGTGAAGTGAGTGAATGATGGAACTTGTCATTTGGAAGGAAGTTGCCTTCAAGAATAGGTTAGATATATGTAATGATTGTGTCGATGGTTTGAAAAGAAAAGGAGGGCACGCGTGTGCTTTGAAGGCTTGCGCATGCTTGAGAATGCTCTTTGCTGTTAATTTGCTTAGCAAACGCTCTCGGGCCAGTGTCCCCAGACCAGATGCTCCACTGGGCAGCACAAAGCAGAGCTCAAAACGTATATCTCATCCTGTGTGATTTTCTTTTCATTATGTTTCATAACATTTGTGATGCATTATATAGTAGTACATCACATGATTTTTAAACATATCTATTGCAAAATTTGGGGATGCACTTTTCACAGATATTTTGCAGGTTGAGGCAGTAGAGAGTGACAGGACTGCCGCCTGCAGCTGTTGTCCCCTTGGGTGGGTGGGCTCCTGCCCACCAGACTGACCAGATTGGGCGGGGGGTGTCCCAGGAACAAGAGTTACCATGGTCATTTTCAAAATAAAAATATTGATTACGTGTATGTTCATGCCTTATATGATGCAAAAGTGGAGTATACTAATACACATTCCCTTTTTATTAACAGCGGTTCTGCACTGGGTCATGCTTGCTTCTGCTATGCACTGATCTGTTCTTTTCCAGTCTCTGCGTATATCATTTTGGTGACATCCCTGCGTTACCATTTATTTATATGGAGTGTGTTTTCTCCAAAACTTCTTTATGAGGGGATGCATATCCTCATCACAGCTGCCATCTGTGCATTCTTCACAGCCATGGATCAAACTAACACGAAGTCTTAGACACTGGAGAAACAATGTATTTTTAAGGTCTACTATTCACTTCATGCTTTTGTTTTTTTTTTTTTTATTAATTTTTTTTTCAAGGCACGGGCCCCTATTCACTTCATGCATTTGGGTAGTGAAAACAAAAATCTGTGTAAATGCAAGGGCGTTCTAAAGAAAATTGTGAATTCTACAAAGTTGAATAGTTTCAGTTTCTTTCACTGCTGTACTTGAATTTAGATTAAATAGTAGTTCAAAAGGTCACTTTAAAATATTTAGTTTTGGAGCGCCTGGGTGGCTCAGTCGTTAAGCGGCTGCCTTCGGCTCAGGTCATGACCCCGGGGTCCTGGGATCGAGCCCCGCATCAGGCTCCCTGCTCTGTGGGAAGCCTGCTTCTCCCTCTCCCACTCCCCCGGCTTGTGTTCCCTCTCTCGCTGTGTCTCTCTCTGTCAAATAAATAAAATAAAATATTTAGTTTGAATATGAATCATATTCCCCTGTTGACAATCACTCCATAAAGTTCTGAACTTTTAATTAATTTCCTCTGGATAATATTTCACTCAAATATCTGTGTTTAAATTGATGAATAAAAACGTCTCAGGTTTATTGTGGTGTTTGTGGACCTCAGAAAGCCTGGGAACTCTGGGAGAAGGCTTACCTGCTGCTGGAGTTTACCTCGAAGAACCCAGACCCCTTAATGGCCCTAGAAACCACTGGAGGTCCCAAGGAGCATTAGTGTGTGTTACATCTGTCAACATTAAGACATTTCAAAAACTATTCGTTGAAAGTAAAGATATAAACTCATTCCATCTTAACATAGAATATTTTTAAGAAAAATAACTTTTCCAAAACAAGAATATCTGCTGAGAGTGGCATTGTTTTACGTTTTTGCACATCTTTAGTGTCTTAATTGAAGATTAAGTTCTTCAATTAGAGTAGGTTAGATTCTGCATTCAGTCTGTTGTCATATGTGAAGTAGTCACATAGATATGTAGTTGGGAAAGGGAGGAATATTTTATTTTTTGTTTAAATTCAGTTAATTAACAGTGTATTATTAGTTTCAGAGGTAGAGTTCAGTGACTCATCAGTCTTATATAACACCCAATGCTCATTACATCACGTGCCCGCCTTAATGTCCATCACCCAATTACCCCATCCCCCACCCCGCTTCCCTCCAGCAACCCTGTTTGTTTCCTATGACTAAGAGTCTCTTATGGTTTGTCTCCCTCTCTGTTGAAAGGGAGGAATATTTTAAAATCCTTTTTCTAATCACCGTGGATGTTCTTTTTGGCACTGCACTAAAACATGACAAACGATGGTTCCTTAATGGTTAATTGGAGAAAAAGCAAGTGCGTGCAAAACAGGTGAAGCCCCATTAAGGTCTGCACCTGAGGTAACAAGGTTACCTGTTTGACAAGTTCTCTGTCAGTGTAAGATGCCATTGCGGGGAGCTGGGTAGACTGTATGTGGATCTTTCTGTATGATTTTTGCAACTTCTTGTGAGATTTACGCTATTTGAAAATAAAAGTTATTTTAAAAAGGAAAAGAATAGTTGCAGTGTGGAGTCTGAAACCGTGTCAGTGCACTTTGTGTTCTGCTTTATTAAAATTCGCTGCTCTGCACTGCTCCCCAAATGGGTCTATTACCCAGGTAGGATTCTGTAGTATCCTGTGGAAATAACACTTCTCTGCAGATGTTGACACGGTAAAATACTCAGTACAAAAAATCACTTGTTACATTGCCAAAAGTCTCCTCAGAAAAGTCTTCCAGCATTGGAAGCTCACAGTGGCAGATGCAAGTTCTCCAAAACTCTTTAACTTACATCTTTTAGCTTACATAATGATTTGATATTTGTTTGCAAAATGGTCACCACTGACAACCTAGTTAACATCCATCACCACAAATAGTTACAATTTTTTCTTGTGATAACAACTTTTATGATCTACTCTCTCTGAGATCCATAATACAGCATCCTAAACTATAGTCACCATGCTGCATGTTATACCCCCAGGACTTATTTTATAACTGGAAGTTTATACCTTTTACCCCATCACCCATTTCACCTACCTTCCACCCCTGCCTCTCTGGCAACCATCAGTCTGTTTTCTGTATCAATGAGCTTGGTTTTTTGTTTGTTTAGATTCCACATATAAGTGAGATCATACAGTATTTGTCTTTCTCTGACTTATGTCACTTAGCATAATGCCCTCAGGATCCATCTATGTTGTCACAAATGGCAAGATTTTCTTCTTTTTTGTGTCTGAGTAATTGTGTGTGTGTGTGCACGCATCTACATCATGTTTTCTTTATCCATTCATCCATCAGTGGACACTTAAAGTTTGTCTTCGTATCTTGGCTATTGTAAATAATGCTGTTATGAATGCAGGAGTGCAGATATCTTTTTGAGTTAGTGTTTTTGTTTCCCTCAGATAAATACCCAGAAGTGCAATTGGTGTATTATATGGTAGTTCTATTTTTAACTTTTTGAGGAACCTCCATATCATTTCCACAGTGGCCACATCAATTTACATTCCCTCCAGCAGTGCACAAGAGTTCCCTTTCTCCACATCCTCATCAACACCATTGTTATTTCTTGTCATTTTGATGGGAGAGTGTTTCCTAATGTACAGATATTTAATATTTACAAATATTTAAGTTTTTGTCACTTTCTAAAATTGTTTTTTCTAGTTACAGTACATCTCCCACTTAATAATCCATTCTGAAAATCCATTGTTTCATGCTAAAACACTAACTGGGGATCTATTTTCCATTATTTTAAATAGAAAACCATGAGAATGCAATACATGTCATACCCAAGCCCCCAACCGGTTCCCTAAAATGTAACTACACATAGCAAAATGTCTACATGTAAGTACCATGCTATCATGTTAGGGAACAAAATGCTTAAAACTGGTTCCTGGTCATCAAATAGTTAATATGGTTATTAACTGGTGTCTTTTTTCGTAGCTTTTTAAAATAGAAACTTAGAATCATTTTAAGTCATTTTCCTCTCCAATATAAGCATTTAAAGCTATAAATTTCCTCTTTTATTTTCACTATATTTACAAATTTTCATATGCTGCATTTCTATTATCATTCAGTTTGAAATATTTCCTGCTTCATTTTTATGGCCTAGCAGTTGGCTCGTCTTGTGCAATAGGAAAAAAAAAATAGTAGATTCAGCAGTTGTTTGATGTGATATCCTATAACTATCAGGCCAGAGTACTTGTTGGCAGCCAGACCTTCTACATCCTTACTGATTTGTTTTCTACTTATTCTTTCAATTGCCAAGAGGATAGCTAAAATTTCCAACTGTAATTATGGCTTTATGTGTTTCTTAAATCTGTTAGTTTTTACTTCATGTATTTTGCATTTCTATACACTAATAATGAAATAGCAAAAAGGAAAATTAAGAAAACAATTGTTTCCAGTTGCACCAAAAGAGAATAAAATACCTACAAGTAAATTTAACCAGGGAGGTGAAAAACCTGTACTCTAAGAACTATAAGACATTGATAAAAACAACACAAACAAATGGAAAGATATACCATGCTCATGGATCAAAGTAATATTGTTAAAAATGTCCATATTACCCACCCTCCAATTCTACGGATTTAGCGCAATTCCTAACAAAATACCAATTGTATTTTTCACAGAACTAGAACAAATATTCCTCAAATTTGTGTAGGACCACAAAAGACCTCAAATAGCCAAAGCAATTTTAAGAAAGAACAAAGCTGGAGGTATCACAATCCCAGATTTCCAGATATATTATGGAGCTATAATAAAAGAGTGTGGTACTGGCACAGAAATAGACATATAGACCAATGGAACAGGATAGAGAAGCCAGAAATAAACTCAAGTTTATATGGTCAATTAATCTATCACAAAGGAGGCAGGAATATACCATGGTGAAAAGACATCTATTGTCTCTTCAGTAGATGGTGTTGGGAAAACCAGACAAAAACATAAACAAGAATGAAACACGACCACTTCCTTACACCGTACACAAAAATAAATCCAAAATGGATTAAAAACCTAAATGTGAGACCAGAGGAGAACATAGGCAATAATTTCTTTATTGGCTGTAGCAGCATTTCTCTGGATATGTCTTCTCAGGCAAAAGAAACAAAAGCAAAACTAAACTATGGGGACTGCACCAAACTAAAAAGCTTTTGCACAGTGAAGGAAACCATCAACAAACAAAAGGGCAAGCTACTGAATGGGAGAAGATACTTGCAAATGATATATCTGTTAAGGGATTAATATCCAAAATATACAAAGGACTCCTACTACTCAAAACCAAAAAAAAAAAAAAAAAAGATTTTATTTTATTATTTTTTTAAAGATTTGTTTATTTGAGAGAGAGAGAGAGAGTGCATGTGGTGGGGGGAGGGGGACAGAGTGCAGATCCTGACACAGGGCTCAATCTCACGACCAGATCACAACCAGAACCAAAACCAAGAGTCGGATGCCTAACCCACTGTGTCACACAAGTTCTCCCACCCAAAAAAAAAAAAAAAGATTTTAAAATGAGCAGACATTTTTGCAAAGCAGAAATACAGATGGCCAACAGTCACATGAAAAGATGCTCAACATTGCTAATCACAGGTAAATGTAAATGAAAACCACAATGAGGTGTCACCTCACACCAGTCAGAATGGTCAAAAAAGACAAGAAATAGCAAGTGTTGGTGAGGGTGTGGAGAAAAGAGAACTCTCATGCACTATTGCTGGAATTGATAACTGATGCAACCACTGGGGAAAATATGGAATTTCCTCAAAAAATTAAAAACAGAAATACCATACGATCCAGGAATTCCATTCCTAGGAATTTACCCAAAGAAAACAAGAAACTAATCCAAAAAGTTATATTCACCCTATGTTTATTGCAGCATTAATTGCAGTAGCCAAGATATGGAAGGAACCTAAATGTCCATTGATAGATGAATGGATAAAGAAGATATGGTATATATACACATTAGAATATAACTCAGCCATAAAAAAAAATGAAATTCTGTTATTTATGACCTAGAGGGTACTAAGTGAAATATGCTAGCGGAGAAAGACA